GGGGAGAAAGAGGGGGAATAGAGAGATGGGGAGGGGGGGACATAGAGATGGGGAAGGGGGAGAAAAGGGGGGCAATAAAGAGATGGGGAGAAAGAGAGGGAAGAATGAGACACAGGGGGAGACAGAGACAGAGAGGGAAGAATGAGACACGGGGAGAAAGAGGGGGAATAGAGAGATGGGGAGGGGGAGAAAGAGACAGAGAGGGAAGAATGAGACACAGGGGGAATAGAGAGATGGGGAGGGGGGAGACAGAGGGAAGAATGAGACACGGGGAGAAAGAGGGGGAATAGAGGGAGGGGGAGAAAGAGACAGAGAGGGAAGAATGAGACACGGGGAGAAAGAGGAGGAATAGAGAGTTGGGGGAGGGGGGAGAAAGAGAGGGAAGAATGCCCCCCCTCCCCTGTCCGCAGGCACCGTGCAGGCAGGGGAGGAAGAGAGGACCTGGGAGCTCACCCTGCAGCTCCTCTGGGTCCTTCTTGCGCGAGCACAGAGCGTTGCCGCTTTTACCATGGCAACGTTACTGCTCTTGCGAGAGTCAACTCTAGCCCTGGAGCTACGGGCTAGAGATCACTCTCAACACTGTAACCCCATGGATTCCTGGTGGTCGCAGTGGTGAGAGTGAACTCTAGCCCCATAAACACACTGCCCCCACACACACACCATACACATTCACACACTGCCCCCATACACACCATACACATTTACACACATTGCCTCACACAAACACATACACAGACCCCCATACACAGCCCCCCATACTAACATTGCCACACACATACATTGCCCACACACCCTACACATTCACACACTATACCCCCACACACACACTGAACCTTTCACACACATTGCACCACTGCTCCTATTCCCTACTACAGCCTCATATCCCAGCAGACCCCAGGTAAGTTGTCAAACTGTTCTTAAGCGGTTTGACTACTTACTCTGGAGCAGTAGTGGTTATTGTGCATGGATTATTTCTTTAAATAATCTACAAGTGCCCCAGTAGCCAGCCAGCCAACCCACAGGCTGGCCAGTAGCCAGCCAGTTAGCCAGCCCACAGGCCAGTAGCCAGCCCACAGGCCTACAGCAAGCCACAGGCTTACAGCCAGCAAGCCACAGGCTTACAGCCAGCAAGCCACAGCCTGCCAGCCGCAGCCTGCCAGCCACAGTCAGCAAGCCCACAGCCTGCCGGCAGTAGCCAGCAAGCCCACAGCCTGCCAGCCGCAGCCAGCAAGCCCACAGACTGCCAGCCAGCAACAGTAATTAAGGTAAGAGGAACCAACTTGGCTTAGGTATCAGCGAGCTATGTTGTGTTGCTGTATTGTGAATAGGAACCAGAGTGTTGGAGAGGCCACCCTCCAGGCCCCATTAGACTCTAGTCTCTGCTAGAAATCCCCTCCATGGCCCATTAGCCCTCAATTGTAGTTTCTACTGGGGCCTGGAGGCGACTGTTTCCAGCAGGGGATATCTAATGGACGCTGAGATGGCCTCTGTTAGAAAGACCCCCTTCCAAGCCTTTTAGACTCCATTGTAGTCTCTAATGGGGCTTGGAGGGGACTCTATCTAACACACTCTCTAAAGGACACTGAGATAGCCTCCGCTAGAAAGACCCCCCTCCATGGCCCATTAGCCCTCAATTGTAGTCTCTACTGGGGCCTCGAAGGCCTTATTGCCCTTTTGTTCCTTGTGTCTAAAGATTGTGTAGGGTGTGGCTGGAGGCGGTGCATGGAGGCGCTTGCTGCAGAGTATGGGTGGGCCCTGTAAGGGGGCCCTTGATTTATTTTGCCCGGGGGCCCTGAGGGTTCTCAGTCCGCCCCTGGATGCAGACCTGGTTAGCTCCTGCTCTGCAGCGATAATGAAGCTGAATTAAGCCACCTAAACGGGACCTGATCGGCCCAAAAAGACTACCAACCGGAAGGTGACAACCAGGGGCACACAACCATGCCACACAAGCGACAAACTTGGTACACAACATCTGCCCTTCCTACAAGGCCTACACGCATGGTCAGCGCGAGGGAGACGGCCACTCCCCCGCTGATATCCACGGCTGACAAGCGGAGACCAGACCCTCATTCCCCCCCTCTGGACCGGTGGGGGTTATCCTGGTCTACCCTCGGGAGACCCTGGCATGACCCGGCGAGAAAGCTGAGGAGATGCAGGGACCTGCAACAAACAGTGGCACTACACCTAAAATGGCGGAAGCAGCATGCTCCCCCAATACTCACAGTGAGCAGCCAGACATAGAGCACCGGCTGGACAGGGCCTTCCAGACTCTATGGGACAAGCTGGAAGCCCTTATGTTCCCGGAGAACACTAAGGCAGTGCCTGTCATCAAGCCACGTACTCACCCGAGTGAAACCAAACAGGTGCAGGCACGGACACCTCGAGTACTGAGCCGACCAGAAGGTCGGAAGCAGCGAGACACTCACCAGCGGCAGGAGACCGAAGACCTGTCAGGCGGCAATAGGAACCGGCAAGAAATCGTGCGGACACACACCAGCCCGATCTCCCACCAACCTAACAGAGAGGGCCTGTCCCCAATGATCATGGCAGAAGGGCTGGAGAAATGGGAGACTGCACAGCAAGTACCCCCGCCAGCGATCATCAACTTTGCCGCCAAGCACAGCTCACTTACAGCGGAGCCGACTTTACACGCACATCCTGCAGCGCGGCGGCATCGAAGAGGGAACACAGAAGACACTCAGCAACAAGCCACAAAGAGCGATGTCCAACTACCTCTCAGGGCACACACCAACCTCCAGAGGCACAGATGTGGCAGGCTTACCCCGACAGGGCTGCAGCCCAAGGGACTCGATAGCTACACCGCAAGGCAACACCACGGGCAACAGCAGCCTCAACGAGGCATTGGGTGAATGGGGACACTAGCTATCCTGGCCGTGAGACCTCACATAATGACAAAGTCATAGCAGGAACTCACGACCTTGGGGGCATACCTCACTAAATGCCGACTTGATGAGAGCGGGACTTTTGCCTGGGGGACCCCAGGGCACTTTATTAATTTGTTTGGTAAGACTGATCCCTCCATTGGCACTGTCTTTGTTAACCTGAAATGATTATCCCTCACTAGCACAGCTAACGATTATAGAAGGTTATAGACCTTCCCTCTCTCAGGCTAGAAAAGGGTCACAAACATGACTTTAACAAAACAAATGTGGTAAAGCTTGCAAGCCTCAGTCTAGCCTACCTTGGTATGTTTTTGCCTATGTCTAGCAACATATTAGCACCTACCACACGTCTCACAAGCATGTATATTTCGATGTTAAAGTGTATTTTATAAACAGTGCAGTGAACTAAATCCATAATTATCAGTGACCAAATACTTCTGTGATTATAGCCTGCAAACTCCTAATTATATACTGTGTTACTTTAATCCTGCTCATGTACATTTAGCATAATTATTTTCTGTTTGACTAGCTTATGACATAGCGTAGAACCCTACTATCTAGAAAGAAACAAGCGATGTTGTTCCGTGTTATGTTTTGAAATGCTTAAGCAACGTAAATATATACTGTTCATAACATTACTAACCTAAAAAATGTGCTAGATCCAACGTCTACCCCAATGTTTAAATTGTTTATCATGCGCTAGAGGACTGCCTTTGGGGTACCTCACAAGCGACTGTTATAATCACATGCACAACTAAAATAAAGAATTAAAAAAAAAAACATTCTGACATCTAAAATGAACTTCACAGCTTCACAACCTTTAGTATGTTCAATGGTGGAGTAAAGACTACTAACGTAATTATTGAGTTGATACATTTTCTCTGCTTATATCAGGTTGCTAATAGAAGTGGGAGGGTAACCCCTGATAATAGATATGAAAACGAGAATAAGGGGAGGATCGGAGGAAGAGACTGTTTCAAACCTCATGAGCCTGACCTATGGAGATGAAGGAGAAACCCATAAATAAATTACAAAAATAACCTTATATAAAAAGTATAATAAAAAAAACAACATGTGGGTTTGGAAAGTAATTAAACAATCCTAAATTTTAAAAAAAATAGTGCTAACAAAAGATAATAAAGTAACCTAAATATGGATATTGCTGAAAAATAGGGATGTGGGGGGAGAGGATGGGAAAGAAAATAAGGACTGGCAAAATTGCAGATAAAGGATAAACGTTAGGGAGGTAGGGGTATTGATAGGAAAAGGATTGAATCAATGCATCTCTATCAGGAAAATTCAGCAGGGCTGCTCTTTCTGCAGTACTGACCCAAGAAGCACTTCCAGTAGCCATCTACGCAGTGGTTACTTGTAGGTGTCCCTAGAGGCAAGGTAAACACTGCCTTTTCTCTGAAAAAAGCCTGAAGGGAACTATTATACTCAACAGAACAACTACATTAAGCTGTAGTTGTTCTAGTGACTATAGCATCCCTTTAAGTCCATCGAGTTTAACCTTACAACCCATTCTTTTACACTTTTGATTGAAAAAACAAACAAACAGTTGTAGACATTACCAACTATGCTACAAAAAGAGAAAAAATCATTTTTGACTCCATTATGGCAACCAGATTTCTCCTTGAATCAGCAACCTGATCCAATACATATCCATGAATATTCAATTTTTTTGCAAAACAAAAGCATCCATGCATTTAAAAATATATATATTTAATGTCTAACAAGACAACCTTTTTAGGTAAAGAGTTACACATCCATATTGTTTTACTGTGAAGAACCCTTTCCTCTGCTGTAAGTAAAAATGCCTTTTTTTCAGTTCATTGGGTAACGTCTTGTCGGTTGTATATTCCTACTAAATAACAGGTTAGCACATAACACTTTGCACTGTATCATTTACTTATAACCAGAGTTAATACATAAATAATCCATAACTTAACATATAAATTAACACCTAGGCCCTACAGACTTTACATAAACGTCCTTGCCAATGAATAAGACCACGTGCCTATGCACCAACTTGCCCACTGGATTCTCGCCTCCCCCTTGTCCAAACCAAATTCCCTTTTCTTTTTAATGCTTACCACCAGCCGGCTTTTAGCACGGTGGGCACGTCCAAGTTGATAACGGAAACGTTTACACTACAGAGCAGGGGTGGTTGAGACCCACCTTGTCCATCTCCTGACATTCCATGTGATAGCCCCCCAACAACTATTGGCAAGGACATGCCCCCTGCTAGCTGTGACATAGACAATAACAAACAGAAAAGAGGGTGGGTGGGAGGCAAGTTGTTGCTGGCCCGTCTCCCAAGAGGCACTGCGGTAAGATGGTCCCTACCCCACTCCCAAGCCCATAACTACTCCCATACACAAATACAACCAATCACAAGCATCCATTCCCACACTCATACATGTGCCCTTGTCCGCTTAGCTGTGCTATCTCCCCAGGGGCTTATCCTCTATGATGCACCTTTTTTACACCTTAGGGATGGATGCAATTGTACATGTTCTGATCAAAACAATATCAAAACAATTTGACTATGTGTCTGTTCAACATCAATTCACCTCTTTCATAAGTGCACCCACACATATATTATTTTGTTCAGGAAAAACAGGACTTTCATTCCACATCAAATATTTAGATATAAAACATAATTTTATATTAAGAACTAAAAAAGTGTGAAAATTATTGTTTTGTTTTTTTTGCTATTTTATTTGTTACTGTCATAATACTGTTGGCTTTTACTGCAAAAAATTTCACTTATTTGTGTTGAGTGATGTCTCACAGTCAGGGCTGGCACTACCATAAGGTGGTTAAGGGCGCACCGGCCTGGGGGCACAAATGTCCGGGTGACCGGCACGAGAGAAGCACACAGCGCTCCTCTCCTGCCGGTCACTTCTTGTAGAGTGGCAGTTCGGCAGCAGCTCCCCCACAGACGAGCCTTCCTGCACCATGTTGCGGACTGCATGGAGGGGGTGGGGATATGAACATATCATATCCCTGCACCCTGAATAGTACGCAGTGCGGCTGATGCCTTGCAGGAACTGAAACTACCACCCCCTCCGTATCTGCATGATTGGAGCTGCATGGGAGAGCAGAGAAGAGGGGCTGGGAGAGGAGAGCCAGCCCCTAACTCCCAACTACCTCAGTCAGATGTTCACACTGGATTCCAGGAAAGCCACCAAAAGTATATATGATCAGCATGTGTCTGTGTGTGTGTGTGCGTGTGTCTCTGCGTGTATATCTGTATGTCTGTCAGTGTGTGACTGTGTGTGTATCTGTATGTCTGTCTGTGTGTGACTGTGTGTGTATCTGTATGTTTGTCAGTGTGTAGATGTATCTGTATGTCTGTCAGTGTGTGACTGTGTGTGTATCTGTACGTGTGTCTTTATCTGTATGTATGTCTGTGTGTGTGTGTATCTTTATGTATGTCAGTGTGTGTATCTGTATGTGTGTCTGTATGTCTGTCGGTGTGTATGTATTTGTATCTGTGTATCTTTATGTCACTGAATGTGTGTATCTGTATGTCTGTGTGTGTCTGCATCGGTATGTTGTCAGTGTGTGTATCTGTGTCTATCTGTATATGTACCAGTTTCTATATCTATATCTATATATAGATATATATGTGTGTGTATCTGCATGTGTGTCAGAGTATCTGCATGTGTGTCAGTTTTTGCATCTGTGTGTATGTGTATCACTGTGTGTGTCAGTGTTTGTGTAAATGTGCATACATCTCAGCAGTCATGTATTGTCGTGACAGATTTTACTGTTTTAAAACACCAATATTTGTGTTCAGAAAAGTCCAACAGTAAAAGTTTTAAGGTGTTTTTGAAAAGTTACAAGGTTGAATATAAGGCTTACAAATTTAATTCTCTAAACTTTCTTACTGGTTTGTTAGGCAGGTCCCTCAAATTGTAATTAATAAAATTGCATAATTATGTAAAAGAGTACATAAATATAAACATAGAATTTGTGTTCAAGTAGACATTGTAGCCATATTAGTTCAGTGATGTAAACTAATACGACTACAATCTCTACTTGAACACTATGGAAGATACCTTATACAGGCACCTAAAAAGCAAATCTAAAGAAATAAAACCAAAAATGTAATATTTCACTAGATCTGTGAATTTTCTGGACACCACTGTGACATGTAGTAATGGCACAATCCACACCTCGGTTTACAGGTGTTACGGTTGCCTCCAGGCTAGCTGGAAGTTGGACCGCTTGGTTATCCCGGTTCCTGAACCCGGAGAGACGAACGCTGCTGTAATCGTCAAAACCTGCAAGTGTCGAATATCCCACTAGCTATAGTAGAGCTAGGATTCACTATTCCCTACAACACGAGTCAAGGCTGCGAGTTGATGGTAAAACAAACTGATTTAATGGCACTCATGCATGGCAATTTATGCAAGTTAGCAGGTCCAGGGACAACCCCCTCTTGACCTGATGGGATACTGGACAATACAATGTCCCAACCAATGGCATTACAGTGTATTATTTGAAAATGTTCCCGCCTAGCTTGGAGATAATTGGTTTCACCGGTTACACTAACCTAATTATCTCCAAGCGCATAGAAATACCACATTTTATACCCACATGAAAATAACATAAAAATGCATAACTTTTAGGTTTTAATATGAACATAGCCCATTTACCCAGTCTCTGGATAGCTCAGATCTGAGCACACATGATATACGAATGGCGCTCAGATCTCACAAACGATATATAAAAGTCACGAAATAAAAAGTCTGTTTGTAGGTTTTGGCACGAACGGATGGGACAACCGACACCTTGGCAGAGTTTGTGCAAACCTTTGGTCTATTCGAGTTCCAGGAGCTTGAGGATTAGGTCCTGCTGGGCATTCGACAACAAAAGATGGCCCCGCCTCTTGTTCGGCATACGAACAGCGCCCACCTTGAAAGAGGTACTTAACTTGCAGAAACCACATGTTA